GAACCCGCGCTGCAGTGGTTTCTGGCAGCTGGAGGCAGCTCGGGATGTGACGGCTGTTTGCTGTGTAGGCGTGCTGGAGCGCTTTAGGCTAGTGCAGTGGGAATGGTCACCTCTGGGAGACCCAGGATGTGGGCAGGATACCGTGGGTCGTCTGGGCACCGTGAGAGGAGGTGCATAGAATGGATAGACAGGGACAGGAAACGTGCGATTGTATCTAATGCCATTCAGCAGTGTTTTGAGGGTTACTTACGCTTAAGGAGTGCGCTTACACCTCCGTGGGTTCGGGCGGGACCTTCTGCGTTTGACTCCTACACCCGGAGTCTCCAGAGGCCCTAAGTCCTCTACTCCATACTTTCCCAACATTAAAGCACACAGTTTGATTCAGAGGACAGTCTGCTGGGCTGTAGGAGCCATCACTAACTTGTCTTTACAAGGAAAGGAGGAAGGGAGGCGGGGAGGGGACTCTTTTGAGGGAGGGAGGGTGTGCAAGCCCCTCTTTTGTTGGTAACCAAGTTGCTGAATCAAATGCTTGGCAGATATTGAAATCTAGGAACTTTGGTTATAATATGATCAAAAGTTCACGGGGCAGTTTTCTTGTGGACAAAATGGACACACCAAAAGATGTTCAGTGATCTTGGCAAACTGTTCTAAATGCATGGCATTTACAGTTCCTGCTGAAATATAGCACAGAACAAGATTAATAGCAAATATATAGAATGATGTAGAAAAAGATCCTGAGATTTTATGTGACTTGTTTGAAGTAGATTTAAAAAAAAAAGATTTATTTATGCATACAAGAACTGGGGTGTAGGCCAGAAGTGAGGGGTGGGGGAGGTGAGAGGATTCCTCAGGGACCCAGTTGGGGAGCAGAATAGGCAGATCAACTAAAATACACTGTTGAGGGTAGCAGCAGGGGAGACAGGAGAGGTCTTCTGCATCACTTGGGTTAGCTGCCTGGCTACAGTAGCTTGATAGTGGTGTCTTTAACTTCCGAGCTGCCAGGGAGTCCCCTGAAGTAACTGATTTAACGTTCTGCTAAGAAAGAAAAAGTGCTTAAGAGGAGAGCACTTTTTTAGATAAAGTATGTCTGTGAATAGGAAGAGCACATTTTGAAGATATCACATCCCATTGTTATTTTAATAAAATAAATGAATAAAAACAGAGCACATCTATGAGAATAAGCAGGCAAGAAAGCAAGTGCTATTAAAAAAATAATGAGACATTAATACAACCAAATATTAAGCCATTTTAGAAGCTCACAGTAGATAACCTGGCACATGGTAGATAAATCAGCTGATGGAGTATGTGGCCCAGCAGAGGAACCTAGAGTTGTAATACATGACAAATACAACTAAGGTGCTACTGGTATTTTTAGGGTGGTAGACTTAGGAGAGACTTTTTTCTCTGTCTTCATTTTTTTCAGTAATCCATTCTTTCAAAAAGTATTTATTGTTCATTATGTATAGGGTGCAGATAACTCCTGCTTAATGGACCTTACATTCTGCCTGAATAAGACAACAAAGATAAATACATGAATGAATTATACAGTACATAGGATAGTAATGAGTACTCCTCAAGATATGAGTTGATGTGGTGGTTGGGGGGTGATTTGAAGTTTTAGATAAGGTGCTTAGGGAAGGTGAACTTTGAATAAAGGCTCTATAGAAATAAAAAACTTGCTATGCATACAAAGTGAGAAACTGAATTTCAAGTAGATGTTAACAAGTGCAGAAGCACTGAGATTTTCATGCCTGGTGTGGTCAAGGAACAAAGACAAGGCCAGTGTGCCCTGAGTAGAGAGAAGTAATAGAAAACAATGTGAGAGAGTTTGGTAGAGCAGTTCATGTGGGGCCTTGCAAATCAGTATGTTGCATTTACTCTGAGATAGGTAAGAAACATTTGGAATATTTTGAATAGAGGAGTATTGTGATCTGACCTATTTTTTTTTTTTAAAGATTTATTTATTTGTGCATACAGAACTGGGATACAGGCCAGAGGCTTAGGGGCGGTGAGAGGCTTCACCAGAGACAGAGTGGGGAACAGAACAAGCAGATCAACGAAGTACACTGCTGAAGGGAGCAGTGGGCGGGTCAGGAGAGGTCTGTCACGCCATGTGGTCTCCTCCGGGGCAGGCGGGAATCGAACTCATGTGGAGGAGGCTTTAGATTCTCAGTGCTGTGCTTTAACCCGCTGCGCCACCAGGGAGGGCCGATCTGACCTATTTTAACAGAACCAGTCTAGTTACTGTTTGGAGAGCAGGATGTAGGGGCAAAGGCAGACACTCAAAGATTTGTTAGGTGGCCAGCAATAAGTAATGGTAGCCTGGCATTTGGGTGGTGAGAGTGATTGAGTTTTAGATGATATTGAAAGTAGAACTCATAAGATTTGCTCATGAATGGGATGCGGGCTATGAGAATGGTAGTAAGACAGACACTAACTATTTTAGCTTGAACAGCTGGAAGACGCAGTTACTACTGACTAGATGAGAACACTGAAGAAGGACCTAGTTTCAGGGAAAGGAGGTGATCAGGAGCTCAGTGTGGGATCTGTTAAATTTGACAGGTAACCATATGGAATATGTAGTCTGAAGTTCAGAATGGAGATAAAAATTGAAACAATGACTTGGTTTTTCAAAACATATTATTTTTATAATAAAAAAACAATGAAAGGAAGAATGAAGTGTTTCTAATGACTATGTGCTGGAGGAAGTTGAACTGTAAAGGTAAGTTGGGATTTAGGAGCTACCAATTAGATATTTCAAATTGTTTCCTTTAGATTCAGACCTTCTGTTGTTAAAGATTGCATCCATGCTGTGCTCAAGGAGGAACTGGCCAATGTTGAATACTCTCCAGAAGAAACGCCTCAGCTCACAAAACGTTTATCGGAAAATATTAAAGATAAATTAAAAGGTAATTGTGATAATTGGAAATGACTTGTTCTCTTCAAACACTGTTTCACTGATTTGTCTCTTTAAGTAAGGAACATAAACTATGTATTCTATTAAAGAAAATTTCAATGCCTGCTGTAATATTTGGTAAGTTTTACTCAGGTAAGCTTTGGCAGACAGTAGATAAGAGTAAAGATGTGAAAGAAAACATTGTAGAACCACTCTCCAAGAAATCCAGCTATGCACACAAAGACTAGGAAGTACAAAGACTCTTTCCCCCCATAATCCTTGGTGGTTTTCCCACCTACACATCAGCTCCTTAGACTGCATCCAGTACCCTTAATTTAACCTCAGTACATCAGTCCAATAACTCCTGAATCACTCAGTCCTCCATTCCTGCACATTCTATATCAGCAGAGCAGATTCTATGCTTTTTCTTCCTGTTCTCTTCTTCCCTGTTCTCTTTTTATTAATAACACATCATCTGAAAAGTCCTTTCTAAAAGATAACTTTTTTTATTTATCACTTTTACATCATTGTGTATTCCCTGTAAAATTCCCATCACCTGTTAACCTGTGAATTATCGCCATAGTCCCTTGTGCTCTTCTCTCCCACTTTGATCCCTTTACTTCTCCCTCCCTCACAGAATGTCTCTTATTTGTAGTTGCCTACTAGTTTTGTTTTATATTATTGTTTTTCCCCCTTTTCCTTTATTTGGTTTCCCTATAGTTTTACTATAAGTAAAACCACTCTGTTTTTCTTGTTCTTTCTAGCTTCTTTCACTGAACATGATTCCTTCAACCTTCTTCCATGTTGCTGTGAATGGCATTAGTTTATCTTTTTGACTGCTGAATAGTTTTCCATTGTGTGTGTGTGTCTGTCTGTCTGTCTTTCTATCTATCTATCTATACCACATCTTGATCTAGTCAAAGGTTAACATTTTTTTTGGAGGGAAGAAATGTCTTTGTAACAGTAATACATTTTCATTGTAATAAACCTGAACAATACACATAGTTTGAAAAATTATATAAAATTCTTTTACTCAAAAGTAGTTGCTATTTAATATTTGGGTATTTTTCTTTTTCTTGACATGTTTTTCTTTCGGAGATTAAAAAAATATATAGAAAAGTTCAAAGAAAATGCTGCTAATTCTGTGTATTTCCATCTCACCCAAATTTACTGTTAGTAAACTAGCATTTTTGTTTCCAGACTTTATAATGAATATTCACTGTTCAAATTGTTGTTAAAAAAAGAAAAAGATATAGGGGTCCACTCCTGGGAGGGCCCCACTGCAGGTCTCTTGTGTGCAGCAAAGGGACTGAGTTCACACAGAGCAGGAAGCACGTCATGGCAGGACAGGCATTTAGGAAATTTCCCCTCCTCTTGAACAAGTATCAGCTAAAAGAAGTGCAGCTGCAAGTGTAACCAAAGGGGCCCTCCCTTTTGGTGCAAGGGGTTAAAGTGCAGCACTATGAAAGTGTAACCAAAGGAGGCATTATGCTTCAAAAAAAACCTCAAGGAAAAGTATTTGGAGCTGGGCTCTCCTTGGTGGCACAACAGGCAGCACTAGGAAGCAGCCACCACTTCAGCACAAGTTCCATTCCCACCAGGAAGGAGACCCACAAGGCGCGGCAGACCTCTCCTGACCCGCCTGCTGCTCCCCTCAGCAGTGTATTCAGTACATCTGCCTGTTCTGCTCCCTGCTCTGTCTCTGGTGAATCCTCTCACCACCTCTGCACCTCTGGCCTGTACCCCAGTTCTGTATGCACAAATACATTTTAAAATAAAAGTATTAGGTGCATCATTTGTTGGATTGGACTCTAAAGGAAAGAGTAGAAAAGATTCAGACAGTGTGGAAGTTGGAGAGAAAGTTCTCTCCCAGAATACGGAAACCCTAAACTAGTTCTAGGTGACAGGTGTTATTTCTTATTTAGAGATAGTGATATCCTTGGAAAATAGGTAAAGTAAAAGAAATCACTGTTGAAATGGTAGCAGGGGAAGCTAACTGTTCCAGTGAATGCTGAAATCTTTCATAATGTAAATTTCCACTTCTTTGTTCATAAACTAATGATATACAAATTAACAAAAGGTATAAAAGAGACATTAGAAAAATCCTCCCAAATGCTACCATTAAATCCTCCCAAATGCTACCATTAAATATTGATGATATGTAACCATTAATGTTATTAAATATTAATGATATGTAATCATTATGTAATTAATGTAATCATATATTTGATGAACATCACACCAGACTTCTTTCTATGCCTACAAACAAGTAGTAACAACACAGCACTGGATGTATCTTCCACAGTGGTGCAGTATTCCTACTATTTTTAAATGGAATGATTGTTTATTATTTAATCCTTTTACCACGCCATTTTCATTGCTGTGTTATTTTGGTTCAGTTTTTCCCTGATGAGATTTTGTTGTTTCTTCAGGAAGGGCTGAAATACTGATTCTTTGTTTTCTCTCACGTTTGAGATTGTCTTCTTTTTGACTTTAAACCAGAACTAATTTGGATAACTTATTTTCTTGAGAATCTTGTAGACACTGCTTAAAGAATCCTATCCTTTGATACTCAGAACCTTTTTTAGGGTATGACTTGGTATTAAGTATTTTATATCTTTTAATTTGTGGATTTTATTTTTTCCGTATCAGGGAAATTTTTTTTTTTGTATATGAGTATATTTGCTGTTCATTTTATTAGATTCTTTTCTTTAGGACACCAAATATTGATATGTTGAATCATCATTGTCTTTCATATCTTTAAATGTTTCTCTGCCATAATTTCTTCCTTTTTTCTTTGATATTAACTGGTGATTACCTCATACCAGTCATTCATTTTTCACTTGTGTCTGTTCTGTCTCTTGCCATATAAAATGTATTCGATCTGCACTGATAACTGTGCTGCCATTTAGTTTGTTTCTTGGGGCTCTTCTGTCTTGTCTTATCTTTCTCTTCTTTTGGAACCTGATTTTTGATTTTATCAAATTTATGATCTAGATACATAAATTCAACATGTTACATTTTGTGAATCAATTGTGAGGAATTTCTTTTGGTTCCTTATATCGTTTCCTAGGTTGATTTTTTTTTCTTCCTTTAAACAATACTTTTCTTTTTGTTATGCTTTTCTTTCTTTTTCTGTTTCTTGTTGTTGCACCTTTGCAAACTGCCATTCAGCTTCTTTTTATTTTTCTCTAATACTGTGTAAGTCATTTTTAAATTTTCTACAACTATACTTGAGGCTATTTATTTTCCCTCAAGACTCTGATTGAAGGACTGGATATTTAATATTCTTGCAACATTTGTAAGGCATAGGAATGAGGAAAGGAAGGAGAAAAATGGCTATAGAAAGGAGAAAGCTTGGCCAAGGTGTATATGGTGTTCTTAAAAATAACTTGTGCTCAGTCTTCTGAGATTTTGTCAAATATCTTGAATTAGTGTCATGTTCTACATTGGAGAGAACCTGTTGTAGTGATTGCTTGCCTGCTTTACCGTATAATCCTGGAGACATTTCTTTCATCAGAGAGTTGGTTCTGTTTTAACTCTGCCCGCTTGACTTACTTTTAAAAAAGCTTTCCAAAAAAGAAGGAAGATAAGATGAACAGACTTGGTTAGTTGTATAGTTTCTGGGAAGTAGTCGAGTTATGTTGGATCAGCCCACTATATTCTAGAATCTTCTGTTTTTTCTTTTCTACTTTACTGAAAATTTAGTTTTCTAAAAATTCCATAATCTGTGCCTCTGCACATGTTCTCTCTCCATAAAATGGTGGCATTGGGCCCTCCCTGGTGGTACAGCCGGTTAAAGCACAGCACAAAGAAGCTAAAGCCACTTCAGCATGAGTTCTATCCCTGCCCCGGAGGTGACCAGCTGTAAGGTCTGCGTGGCAGACCTCTCCTGACCTGCCGCTGTTCCCCTCAGCAGTGTACTTTGTTACTGCCTTTTCAGCTCCCCACTCTGTCCCTGGTGAAGCCTCTCACTGCTCCTGAACCCCTGGCCTGTACCCCAGTTCTGTATGCATAAATAAATATTTTTTAAAAATGGTGGCATTGTTCATCTGCTTGATTTCCACTTGCCTTGTAAGATTCAGCTCATTTATCATTTCATGTTCTCAATGAAATCTTTTCTGGTCATTTTTTTTCTTCTTGCCTAAACAAAGTGAGGAACCAGCAGATTTGTTCTCCTTACATACCTGATACAGGACATCCTTTTTGAGTTACTAGTGTATTGGATTTTCAATTTTTATATTTGCCATCCCCACTAAGTAAGTTTTTAAAGGCTTACAAAGAATTGTCTTACTTATCTCTGTATCTTTTTTTTTAAGATTTATTTATTTATGCTTACAGAACTGGGGTACAGGCCAGAGGGGTGGTGGGTGAAAGGATTCACTAGAGACAGAGTGGGGAGCAGAACAGGCAGATGTACTGAAATACACTGCTGAGGGGACTTATCTATCTTTAAAAAAATTTTGTTGTTAAAGTAACCTTGCATGATAAAATTATATAAATATAGCTGTATATTTTGAGGACTTAGCTCATAATTTGACTTCATGTGGGGGAGATGGAAGGAAGCTAAGATAGAGATCTTAGTGTTAGCAGTATATGTTAGAGCTATGTGTTAGTACTATCTTTGATGATTTATATATTACTACTTTATCTAACTTTACAACATCCTCCAACAAGTAGATAATGAAATCCCATGTAACAGATGAGGAAGACTTAAACTGAAAAGTTAAATAAAGTGTCTAAGGTTAGGATTTGTCTTCATGTTTTGCTGACTCCCAAGCCTATCATCCTGTGCAGTTAAGTGCTTATAGACTGAACGCTTACAGCTGTTTCTAAATAAAAATGCCTTCGTTAAGTAATTTTATCATGTTTGCTTATAGACAACTTTCTTACTTTTTTTTCTAGAAATGGGATTTGACCGATATAAAATGGTGGTGCAAGTAGTGATTGGAGAACAAAGAGGTGAAGGAGTATTGTGAGTAGCTGGGTTTTTTTTCCTTTTGTTTTTATTCTTATATATGTTTGTATTATATATTCATCCTCTTGGCAATTCAGTCAGATTGTGTCTTTGCAAAATGAGAGGAAAGAACAATATATCAAAATGCAGTTGTGAAGTGAAAAGATCCTGGTAGTAAACACTAAGGTTGACAGTGCATGAGTTTTGTAGGGGACTTCGCTTCTCACAGTACTTCAGGCCAGTAAGTCTCCAGGGTTTGTATGTATATGCTCCCAAAGAAATTGTGGGATTACTTTACATGCTTCTGCCATTGTTCCTTATTGCCTAGTTTTGTTTTATTTTTTAAATAATATAATAGTTTATTTTTACAGCATTTTGTGCATTTTTTATCTCAGTTGTAATCCCCGTGGGCTTCCCATCACCAAGTCACCCACGTGCCACTATAGTTATTGCCTAGTTTTGACCCTACTATTTTCCTAAATTGATTTCTTTAAAATTATCCAGGACTTCCTTATTTATAGATCAAGTAGTACTTTCTTAGCTCTTACTCTCGGCTTGAGCTTCTGTTTCTTAAAATTCACTTCTTTTTGGCCCTGATGTCATTAATCTGACTTGTTTCTCTGCTGTTTTTCTGACTGATTCTCTTTATTCTCTTTTCCCTGATTTCTCTTTCTCTTCTAGCTGTGAGCTTCAAGTTTTAGTTCTTATTCTTCTGTTCTTCTCAAGGCTTTTTCAGTGAACTTACTCATTCTATGATCTGTCATTTGTGTACTGGAAAATGCAAATTCTTATTTCCTGTCTATTCCTATGCCAGAATGTTAATCTTATGTTTCCCTTTGTAACTATATCGAGTATATTTTTTTGTAAGAAAGCACTAAAATATTTTATTGAATGAATAAAAAAAAAACCCTTGTAAATATTGTCACTGAGAATTTTCTTTTAGAAAGTTAGATTTAGAAGGGACTATAATTCCTATAATTTACAGGACAAATACCACAGCTTCTTCAACAAGTAAGTGGCAAGGTAAAGGAAAACAAGAAAAAACAGGGAGTAAAAACAATAAATAAAGAGAATTTTAAGAAAATAGCAACCAACCACAATGTGTACACAATGTCTGGAACCTGATATGAATTTGTTTTTTTTTTAAAATATATGTATGTATATATACAAACAACATGCACATATGAGAAAACTGAGTATTCTATAGATTAATAAAGATCAGCAGATTTGCTTTAAATAATACATCTGACTGGTTTTAGGGTCACTCATCAAGCCTAATCTTCAGATTCTGGCACAAACTCTTAACTAATGCCCTCTACCATTTGGTTAAAGACTTCAGGATATTTCCTTACCAAAAAGAGGTTTAGAAATAGTTCACTATCCTTTCACCTCAGATTCAACATGCTCAAATAGAGGTCCAAATTTCATTTCCTTCCACTCCCTACATCAGCCTGCCATTTTAATTTCTCTGTCCCTCACAGTTTTACCAAGATTCTACTAACTTAGACTTAAAACCATGGAGTCCTCTTATATCTTTCCTAGCCAGGACTCTCTCCCATTGCATGCACTGTAATCTGGATGCCAGTGTTACTCAGTAGTCCCTTATTAGCATTTTCTGACTGATCTCTCTCTGACAATTCATTTTGATATCAGGCCTATCTTCCAGTGTTTACTACACTTACTTTCTGCCAACTTTACAGAGTTAATTTCCTCTATAAACCCTCTGATTTAAACTGCTTATACTGGTTGTGACTGACTTTGTTAAATGTAATCAAGCCAAACCCTTAAACATAGTCTACTAAGCTTCCCTTTCTTCTTTTTTGGAATTTTACCATCTAATATTTCCAACACATACAAAAAGGGTTAAGGAACTTCCATGTTCCTGTTACTTTGCTTCATAGGTTATCAGTACATAGCAGTGTTGTTTCAATTATCCTTTCATCTACTCTTCCTGCTTTCACCAGATTATTTTGAAGCAAATTCCAGTCATCATACTATTTCATTTGTAAATACACCAGTGAAAAAGTCATTTATACTCTTTTTAACATAATAAAATACTACTACTTAAAATCTTGTCAACCCTTAATATTATAAAATATTCTAGACAATTAGAATTTTATTCACCAGTTCTACATCCAAAAGTTTTAAAAATGAAGTAGCAGTATTCATAATACTGAGTTTGCTCATATGTGCATGTTATGTTGTTTGTATGTATATATACATATATTTTTAAAAAAACAAACTCACATCAGGTTCCAGACATTGTATACACATTGTGGTTGGTTGCTGTTTTCTTAAAATTCTTTTTATTTATTGTTTTTGCTCCCTGTTTTTTCTTGTTTTCCCTTACCTTGCCATTTACTTGTTGAAGAAGCTGTGGGTTTGTCCTGTATTCTATTTTCTGACATTTGCAGAGTATGTCCCCATGCTATTGCTTAATACCTCTTCTACCTCCTATATTTCTTATAAATAGATAGCGCTAATCATGACCACTTATAAATTTGAGTTTTTGAAAATACTGTTACATAAATGGTTAGTGTAAATCCTATTGTTTGTATCTCCTTAGAAGGCACAAAATGTTTAGTTATCCCTGTTACTGTTAGGATTGAACACGGAGTTCAGATTGATCCATCCTTCATAAAGTTCTCTTACCAGTTTTACCATAAGTTGCTTTAGCACCCTGTTCTAGATCTATTATTTCATGGCTACAAAATGGTGATCTTCCCATTCTTTACTTAGTAGCTGAATTATTCTGTTAAGAATGGCTTTTGCTCCCCTTTCCTTTCCTCTTCTCCTCTCTTTCTTGCACCTCCCCTTCTCCTCTGTTCCCTTTTACCCTCCCCTCTTCCTTTTCCCTCATCCTTCCTCAGCCTTCTCTTTCCTTTCAAAATACCAGGTAGGAAGGTTTGGTGTGGTGCTTCCCTGGTGTCAAGGACACATGCTCTCCTGCTATGTTCTGCCATGTTTTCATCTGCATTGCTGACGGTCCTGCAACACAACATTTACATTTCTTAAGAGCAAGAGATAGAAAGAAAAGGTGTATGCTTTTCTTTTTCAGCACTTTAAAGATGTGATTGTTATCTTCTAGTTTTCCTAGTTTCCGTTGAGAATGCACTTGTCTTATTTTCATTCCACTGGAGGTGATATGTCTCTTTTTTCTTTTAAAATGTTTTTCTGATTGTCTTTTTACTCTGATATATATGGCTTTCTTTGTATTTATTCTGCTCTTATTCCACAATCTTGTGGGCTCTTGAATTTGTCTTGCAACAGTTTGGGAAAATTCTTACCTATTTATGCATACAGAACTGGGGTACAGGCCAGAGGTGCAGGGACGGTGAGAGGATTCACCAGAGATAGAATGGGGAGCAGAACAGGCAGATCAATGAAGTTCACTGCTGAGGGGAGCAGCGGGCAGGTCAGGAGAGGTCTGCCCTGCCATGTGGATCATCTCCAGGAAGACAGGGATTAAACTCATGCTGAAGTAGCTTTAACTTTTTAGTGCTGTGCTTTACCCCGTTGCGCCACCAGGGAGGGTCCCACCTATTACCTTTTTTTTGAAATAAACTTTTATTTTAAAATAGCTTTAGATTTATAGAAAAGTTACCAAGATAGTACAGAGACTTCTGATGTACTCCACACTAATTTCCTGTGTTTATTATTTTATTATTTTTTAAAAGGATTTATTTATTTATTCATACAGAACTGGGGTACAGTCCAGAGGTACAGGGGCGGTGAGAGGATTCACCAGAAACAGAATGGAGAGCAGAACAGGCAGTTGGATGAAGTACGCTGGTGAGAGGAGCTGTGGGCGGGTCAGGAGCCGTCTTCCGCACAGCCTGAAGGGATGGAACCCATGCTGAAGTGGCTTTAGCTTCTCAGTGCTGTGCTTTTAACCAGCTGCGCCACCAGGGAGGACCAATTTCCTTTATTTTAAACATCTTATCTTAAAATGGTACATCTGTCACAGTAATGAACCAATACTGATGCATTATTAATTGAAGTTCATACTTTCTTCAGATTTTTTTTATTTTTTACCCAATAAGCTTTTGCTGTTTTAGGATACCATTTTAAACGTTTCTTTAGCGTCTTAGCTGAAACAATTTCTTCGACTTTCTTGGTCTTTGAAGATCTTGATGATTTTAAATAGTTCTGGCTATGTATTTTTTTAGAACATTCCTCAGTTGTGATTTGTTTGCTTGTGATTAGTTTCAGGTTCTAGGTTTTTGGAAGAAAGATCACAGAGTTAAAGTGTCACATCAAGGGTATATATCAACATAACATGGTTGGCATTAATGTTAACCTGGGTCCCCTGCTGAAGCGGTGTTTGCGTGTTTTCCACTATAAAGTCCCTCTTTTTCCTCCTTTCCATTGTACTCTTTAGGAGGAAGTCATTGTGTGCAGTTCACACTTCAGGAGCAGGAATTTATGCTTCATCCCTTTGAGGGAAGAATATCTACAAAACTTATTTGCAGTTCTTCAGTACAGAAGATTTGTCTTTCCTCTCCCATTCATTCATTCATTCATTTACTTATTCCAACATGGACTCAGTGTGGATTTTTATTTTTTTAATTGTAACCCAGCACTCCTTTGTTTTGTTGCTCAAATTGCTCCAGTTTTGGCCATTGAGAGCTCTTTTAATTGTCTCCTGTGTTCCTTTGGCATACCTCACTCACCATTGTGAGGGTTTTTTGAGCGTTTCCTTACTTACAGGAAGTCCCATCTTATCCATTCCATATACCAGACCTTGAATCAGTGATTTGTTTAAGGAATTCATTTTATTGGGGAAAAGTATCAGAAAATGCAACCTGGGTAAGTGTGGCTATGTTTTATCTTTTGAAATATTGCTTCTGCTTCATTAGTTCTCCGCTCTCCATTTTGGTTTCCAGTTACATGTATTTAGATTTTTTTTTTTTAACTATTTGACATGTCTCATGCTCTTCTCTAAATTTTTATTTTTTCCTCTTTGTGCTTCAGAGAGATATTTTGGATATATTTCTGTTGAACTGTCACATCTTTTCTATTGTTTAATCTGCTGTTAAACCTACCTGCCAACTTCTTAATTTCAGTTATTATATTTTTCAGATCTAGACTTTCCTTTTTAGTCTTTTTTAGAGATTCTAATCCTCTAGTGGGAGTTATCTTTTCACCAGTGTTCTCCATCTTCTTTCTCTCTTTCCTTTCTATATCAAGACATAGTAGTTATTTTAATGTCTTCTACTTTAGTTTCTAGAGTATTTATGAATATGTGTCATTGATTCCCTCCCCCCTACCCCGATAATTCTTTACATTGCTCTGTCTTTTGGCATGCCTAGTTTAAATCCTGAGCATTGTGTTAAAAAAAATTGTGGAGCCCCCATATAGTACTTTCTTCCAGAGGTGATCTACTGCTTTCTTTGCTATTTAGGGAGGTATGGGCTACTTACCTTAATCCAGTCAGCTAATGAGTTGAGTGTTTTTTCATAACTTTTCATAAGACCCTCTCTATTTTTGGTTAATCTTCTTTCTTGAATAGAGTCCTCCAGACTTTTCCAACTAAGAATCTGAAGTGTTCATTGGAACCAACCCCAGATAGTTCTGACTTTTAGCCCTTATTTTCGCAGCATAAAGTACCGCATTTCCTCTGCAATTTTTCCTCTGCATAAAAAGCTCTCCTCAGCATAAAAAAAACTTCATTTCAGTTTTTTTTCCTTATTGTACTAATTTCCTGTGGCTGCTGTAACAAATCACAAACCAAGTGGCTTAAAGTGTTACAAATATAGTATTTTACAGTTCTGGAGAACATAAATTCAAAATGGATTTCATTGAGCTAAAATCAAGGTTTTGATAGGGCTGTATTCCTTCAGCCTTCAGCTGATGAAGGCTCTAAGGGAGAATTCATTCCCTTTTTCCAGCTTTTTTGAAGCTGCCTGCTTCCCTTAGCTTGTAAACTCTTCCTTCATTTTCAAAGCAAGCAGCATAGCATCTTGAGGTATCTTCAAACAGCTGACTCTAACCTTCTCACCACCCTCCTTTACAAGGTGATCCATTGAGCCCACCTAGGCAATCCAGAATACTCTCTCTATTTCTAGTTCCTCAGATCATATGTCTGTAAATCCTCTTTTGTTACGTAATATAATACATTCACAAATCCTAGGGATTAGGACACAGACATATTTGGTGGGACCATTATTTTGCCTATTACACTTAGCTTTTTAGGTTCCTGCTTACCCAGTTTCAGAATTCAACACATGCCTTGAGGGGAAAGCCTACCATGTGATAGGCTCAGTTCTACTTTCTCCTTTTTCTACAGGGATCAGGTTTTCTATTTTCTGTCCCTAGCACAGCAAGACTGCCAGCAATCCTGTTGTTTTTTTTCTCCTCAGTGATTGATTCCTGCATGAGCAAAGACCAGCTCCTCAGACTCCAGCTGTGTCCAGAGGTAGTGAATGTCCCAGGGAGAAGTCTTCAGAATACCACCTTCCCTCCTTGTGGTTTACCACTCTAGAATTTTAGCTTCCTCTGTCCTTCCTACTTGTTTTAGCAGCTCTCTGATGCATTTTATCCAACTTTTCTAATTGATCTTGGTGGGAGCATAAGTCTGTTGCAAACTCTTCCACCACATTTCTGAGTCCCATTGGTATACATATATAGTGCATATAGCATCCTTTCTAGTAAGGTCCAGGGTTTGGTATGATCCTTGTGCATTTATAGTCCTAGATATGGTTTTGACCATTTCCCCAAGGAGCCCTGGTGCCTTTTATTGGAAAACAGTAAAGAGGTCACAGTTTGAAGCAAGGATTGCATTTTGTGTCATTTGCACCTAACTCATATATGATACTTAATGAATATATATCTTTTTTATATTCATATTTACTTTGTTCTCCTCATCTTAAATAGAAGATGACCTTCACAAAATTGTTTTTGACTTTTTTGCCTTTCTAAATTTTCTAAACTTCTGCAGCACTTTTGTTACTAGGAAAGGGTCTAAAAACTGACACCAAGTGAGAAACTCTCTCACTGGTCTGGGTCCAGACACTTGTCACAAATGCAAACAAAAGGGAGAATAAAGGACTTATTTATTTATTGTTTAAATAATATAATAGTTTATTTTTACATCATTTTGTGTCTTTTTCCATCTCAGTTGTAATCCCCGTGGGCTTCCCATCACCAGATCACCCATGTGCCATCTCCATAGTCCAGTGCACTTCCCTCCTCACACCATTTTTGATCCCCTTTCCCACTCCACCCCCATGAAATGTCTCTGGTATATAGTTGTTTATTATTATTATTATTATTTTCTCCCCTGGTCCTTTATACTCCTGCTATGAGTGAAATCACCGGTATTTTTCCAAAAAGGGCTTATTTTTAGCTAACAGTGTAGAAGGAAAGGAGAAGATCCAGATACTGACCAAAGGTGTCAGGTGGGGCTGCACTACAGGAGCAAACAGGGTGTGGCACAACCTGCCACTGCAGAGGAGCCCTTCCTTCTCTCCCTGGGAAGGGAAGTCCTCTGTCACCCCACCCATCCTACCCAGTGGAACAGCTGCCTTCACAGAAGTCCCAAAGGGAGCCCATGTTTACTCTCTTAAAGGCTTCCCATATGGCTGCTCTGCCTCATGCTTCTCCGAACCCCCTTGCTTAGGATGTCAGGGGTGAAGTTCAGATTACGACACTGCCAGGCTTTATCCCGTTTGGCTTGGGTGGTGCCAGAGGGTAGTGTTATTCATGCCATCTTGGTGGGAAAAGCTGTGCTGTCTGTGCCTAGCCTGCCAGCTATTTTTAATGACTGCGTAGAATTTCTATGTCAAGAAATAATATAATTTTATCTACCAGTTCAGTACTGCTGGGTATTTAGGTTGTTACCATTTTAAGGTTACTTTTATTTTTACTAAGCTTTTTTTTCTTTTTTTTAACCCAGGAATTGAGGGGAAGGAGAATGGCCAGTTGAAGACTTTACTGATGACTTAGATTCCTGTAGAGATAATACTAGATTTACAATTAATTTCAAATTAGCTCAGAGATTGCCATTTTGTTTTCAGGGTCTCTGTGAAATTATCAGGTTGTACTAAGTAATTGGTAGGTAGGCTCCTTTCCAGGCCTACTTTTTCATATTACTTTGCAGGAATCGAACCCATTTCAGTCATACCTACTCATTTCCTCTGAAAGTCATACATAAATATCTTAGCTGAAGTAATCCACAACAGAGCTTCCCACCCAGAGTACCAACAATTTCAAGGTCTTGATCTGTGAGGCAGCTAGTCATGGTGATGCTGGGCCAGACATCTACAGTAGCTGTGTTATCCGACTCCATCCCTTCTAGTTTATCCAGGGTACTGTACTGTATAAATAAGATTTTCTAAGTATTAACATATGAAGATTTGGAAGCACGGACTTATAAAAATGTATAAAGGAAAATTTTTGTTCATGTATTACTCAGATAGATGTACATTGCTGATAGTTCTTTATTCTTTGACCTTTTAGCATGGCTGCTCGTTGTTTCTGGGATGCTGATACTGACAACTACACTCATGATGTTTTCATGAATGTAAGTCTATTTGGAAACTTTTTTTTCCTCTCAAAGGACACATGGACATTCCAAATAAAGTTCCTTGATATATTTTTTAAAAGATTTATTTATTTATGCAGACAGAGCTGCGGTACAGGCTAGAGGCTCAGGGGTGGTGAGAGGATTCACCAGAGACAGAGTGGGGAGCAGAACAGGTCACCTGACTGAGCACTCTGCTGAGGGCAGCAGCGAACGGGTTAGGAGAGTTCTGCCATGCCATGTAGATCACCTCCTGGGGCGAGGATCGAACTTGTGCTGAAATGGCGTTAGCTTCTTAGCGCTATGCTTTAGCCTGCTGTGCTACCAGGGAGGGCGCAGTTCCTTGATATTTTTTAAGATGAGAGAGTGCTTTAGTTTTAGATATCAGTCTCAGATTCCTTTTGAATGAGACAACTTTACTGTGCCTTTTCATGTTACTAAAGCAGAATACTGAGTGTGCTGTTTATAGGCAAGGAAACTTGTATGGGTACAGACGGGAATAGTATCTTGTTTATTTAGTGCTAATACACGTAGCATTTGCTAAGTGGCAACGAAATTTGGATTGGTAGGGGTTCCACGAACTATAGAAGTACTAATGGAAAATACTATTTAGATCTTCATTTATAAATAATTCTGGGGAAAGAATCAAGTCAAGGCAATAGATTTTCCTATTTTCTGGAGTTAAAAGTGCATGTTTCTCAGGGTCCTTATATAATTTATTCATTCAACAAATAATTCTAAGTTCCTTTTATATGCCAGCCTCTGTACTGGAGATACTAGGAGTAAGATAGGTATGGTTCCTGCCTTTAGAGTCCAATAGCCTAGTGGGAGCCAGACAATACTCAAATGGACAAATATGTAATTAAAAACTTTAGGTAGAAATTGTTACTTAATGAGGATTATCAAGATTGAGTTTTAGAACACAGAATTGGTGTGAGAGGTGTCAGAATCATTTTTGAAAACCTGGTGTAGGTTGCTGATTTAGTTTACCTATAGTCCAATTTTTTTACCTTATACAAGTTTCATTTTCATAATAAGATGAAGCACTATGCTTATTTGGAAGAAGATCCCAGGAAGCATGAGTAGAGAATGAGGAAATGAGAGTGAGTAGAGAAAAGCATGTCAGCTATTGAGCTGATAATTGCTATGGATAACAGGCATAATCTCACTGGAGAACTCTGGGTGGTGCTGTACAACAGTGCCAATCAAAGTGGGGTCCATGTACCAGTTCTTGAACTGTTACAAACTGGAGATAAGTACAGAGTTTGAGTGTAAGGGCTTAGAAACTCTGAGAATTTTAGAAAGCAATTTTAGGTCCATTGAATTTAATATTAAAAATTTTGGCAGTTTTGCATCTTCCTCTTCTCATTTTATTTTTCTAATTATTAATTTTTCTTGTATTTTACAAAAGTATCTTTTCATGACAGACTGGAATTTTAAAACAAAAACAAAACCCGACCCTCACCACACTTGGCACTGTTAATAGAACACAGGTCACAGTTATCTCATTTACAGAGCCAGGGAGCTGGGTTAACCACAGAATTTTACTTTCAGTTAGTAATTAGGTACTTTAGTTCTCTGCCAAGGTGGAGGTGAGTTTGGTGGGTTGGAAATTGCTGATGCAAGTGAAACTCCTATAGTAATAGAGTTAATAATAATCTAGAAAGTGTTTTTAACAAGTTTAACTAGGATCTGGTAGCATTTTTTGAGATTCTAAGCTAAAAGATCAACAGATTTCATTGATTAAGAATTAATACCCAGAAAAAGAAAAATGCAACTTCCAAGAGACCCACCAGTCCCCATTCAGATAGGTGAGACCTTGGATCCATGGGGAGGGAGCCAGAGTGGCCAGAGACTTTGTGACCTTTCTTGACAAAACCTGCCAGCCCTGCCCAGACCAGCAGAGTTGAGAGAGCTCACCAGTGCCCTCCCTGACTGGACCTAGACAGTATCTGCTTAGACCAGCAGAAGCCTGTGACCTTTTGGGGACCTGCCAGTGCCTCTCTTGCACCTAGTAAAAGCCTTGTGACTTCCATGAGATTCCTGCTAGCATCCTCACTGTCTGATGAGACCCCCAGCCAACTTCAGGGAGTGAGTCAGAGTGGCCAGAGTCTTCACCTCCACCCTTGAGACCTGAAAACCTAGATAGACACCACTATCCTAGCAGCCTAGACACCTACCCTAATGACCAACTCTCAGAGAGAAGCAGGAAATCCCTCCCTGGACCTCAGCTGCCTGGACAACCAGTGCCTCATGCAGTTAAACACCTAGAATTGAGGAATAGAGGGAGAGGGAAACCCACACGCTACAGAAGCCCATCTATAGCAGAAGGGGCCAGGTGGCTGTGGGGAGGAAGAAAAATACAAACCATCAAGCAATCCATTCTCAGGGAAACATACACCACAGAAAGAAAGTGTCTCCAGGACCCTAAAACAATGACTTGGAAGAAAAGTTACTGCTTGTCAGATGAAGAATTCAAAATTGCCTAATTAAAAAGTCAAAGAATTTGAAAAACAAATCAGAATTACATGAAGAGCAGAAAAAGGAAAAGGATGCTATGAGAAACAAGCTACAAACAGATCAAGAGTGAAACTATGAAAATAAAGGAACTATAGGATGTAAAAGGTTCAATGAGGAGGTTCAAATTTATGAAAAATGCCATAGAAATAGAATAAACGATTTGGATGAAAGAATCATTATCTCAAAGACACACCATTGAAAAAACCAAGAAAGAAAGAAAAAAAGAGTTACAAAGAATTAACACCCAGAGACCATTTGCCCTAACCCAGAATTTATAAAACTGTGCTTTTAATTTTATTATCTGTGATATAGTTTCTTGGGTGGCACTCAAAACATTTCATATTTTATTTCTTTGATAAATCAGGAGAAATAGGAATACTTACAAATGTGCAACATAAAGTTGATTGGTTTGCATTTTATTTCTAAATCCACAAAATTGAATTCTTCAGCCACCTTAGCTTTTTAAGCAAGCAATTTTGTAGGTATACTCTGGAAACCCATTGTTTCTTGGAGAAGGAAAAAAGCTTCATGATTGAAAGTTGGCAAAGATTGGAGATGTTATTTCAATTGCCTGTGCTGCCATGAGTTCCCTTATTAGTACTAACGTTTGGGCTTTGTGTGTTTGTTTTTTTTAGGACAGTTTATTTTGTGTTGTAGCGGCATTTGGCTGTTTCTACTACTGAATCTTGGAAAAGCTGGGAAAAGAAATTTTGAAGAAAAATGAATTTTTTTTAATATTGTTAAGTATCTTGACAAAATAAAGTTGGCAGTTTTGCCACTGGTCTGTTGAGTTGTAGGTCTTACATTTTAATGTTTGCTTTTGCAGTATTATATTCTTATTATACTTGTAAATTGGAGAAAAAAAGTAAGGGCAAATCCATAAATCATTGTTCAATTATAACCAACTGTAAGTATTTTGGTATATTTTCTACAGTGGTTTCTTTCTTTTTTTCAGGGTTTACAAAACCATATATAGATTTCTTCACTTATCCTAATGTTATGTGCATTTTAATGCCATTTTATTTATGATTTTCCTAAGTATAATTTAATAGTTGTACTGGACCCATTAGGTTATACCGCTTAGTTTTTGCCATATCATTATTAAGGGACTGATTATTTCTATTTTTTTCACTATTGTAAATAACACTAATATGATTTGTGCATAAAGTTCCCCCCCTACATTTTGAATTTTGCCATTATTTCTCAACCAGTGTTTTTGCTCCGCTATTGCTATCCTCTGTCTTACACAGTTCATTAAATATGTCCATTTTCTTCAGGACTTGTTGAGAGTGACAGGGGCTGGGTGTTTCCACGCTGTGATGCAATTAGCTTCTCCTTTAACATTTTCCCAGATTCCATCCCTGGTTACTATACAAATACCGGTTATTTTTGAAGTGACATTCCCTTAGAGTCCCTATTATTTTCTTCAGCTAGCTGTCCTTATGCTCAGCACTTTATTCTATTGGTAGTGTTTTGAATTTGAAACTCAAAAGGAAAAAGTCGTGTTTAAATTCTTTTTCTCCTTGGAGGCTCCTCAGCTATACCTAAGTTTACTATCCTCTTTCTTAGCTGCTTTCCAGTAAAGCTTGTAAACAAAAAACTGGCTATCTATGGAATCCAAAAGAAAGAATCCTACAACGGTTCCTTCTAGCAAAAAGGAAACGTTTCTTTTCACCAGACACCCTACTACGTGTACTTTCCTATTAGTCCTCTCTCGCCCCAACCCCCAATTCCC